ATGTGTACTCAGGACACCTACAGCTATACAACATGACTGAAAGGCGAAATCAAACTATGAAAGTAAGATATTTGTCTTAAAGAAAATAAATATTTCATTTCTAGCTAGAGCGTGGGGATGAATAAGAAAAAGAGAGAGAGAGAGAAAAAAAATAAATTAATTAAGATTTCCACAGGAGATTTAAAATTTTTTATTGAATTGATTGAATGAAAAATGTGAACTAAGGCTAATATTATTAAATACATATGTACCACTTTTCTGGTCGCAACTATTTATTGTCTACTTCGAATTCTTAATTAGCAAAGCCAGAAAGGTTTAAACGTTTTTTCTTACAATGTTAAAGCGTCCCAATTTTATCTCTCATTAAGAGCCCTTATTCTGACGTTTGTCATTTTTTCTCAGGAAATAGCGCCTTCAAACTCCTGACAAATTGTTCCTTCTACGCTGACGATTCTCTGACGTCCTGTCCTGGGCTCATTTAGCTTGAATTCGATTTGTCTCTATTCTATTTTTTCTACTAAAATCTACTCTTYCATATCTCAGAAGATATAATTAGTCCCCGACCGGATATTGTAGTATTTTCGCTTTATAGTAAGTTTAAGTGATATTGGCAAGGCCGATAGGCAGATTTCGCAGAGGAAAGAAAGAAAGTGGAGTAATCTTAGTTTTGATCCGGCTTAGTTTGCCATTTTAATTTTTCTAGATCCTTAGTGCACATCAATTATAAAAAGAGAATAATATACTAGTAATTCCAGGGCTTAAGCAATCTAGATTTCATATCGTTATTATAGGATCAAAACTGCCTTCCTTTTTTGTTCTGTTATTTCTGCTGTAAAGTAAGAACAATTGTACAATAGTTGTGATAATACATTTAAAAAGGATCAAAACGTTTTCCCGCCTTTTTCAGTTTTCTCACGGTAGATTTCATCCAGACAAAACAAGATTTGTGATTTTGATAAACAAGTGATGATTTCCTAAACCAAGACCAAAATAAACTTTTTATTTTTCATAATAAATGCATTTTAAATATTTAAACCTTTAGCGAGGCCAGTCTAATCACAAGAGCAATATCTGTGTTTTTAAGTACCTCTGGTCCTTTCGCCTCGCCTCGATCGCCTCCGATATATTTACTACTTCATAAAAACATTACTGGAGGCATTGAACAAATCTAAAAGCATAAAAGGTGAATTTATCCCGTGAAAGTAGGGAATTGAACGCAAGATAAAGAGCAATAAATAGATATCATGCTTCTATGATAGATTTTTTTTTCTCCGTTTAAATTTATCAATTATTTTGGATTTTAAAGTACATACAAAGCGTCTACTCTTAACTCAGCAGAAAAGCTCATTAAGAGTCTGTGCTTTTTTCCTTTCAAGACAATCTCGAACTTCGATTAGCAACGTGAATATTAAAACTCCTATCAAGGCACATTTTTGTTTTCTGTCTTYTTTACAGTTAATTGTCGGAAGCTTCATAGAATAGTCAATATCTAAATATATCCTCTTGTCAAGACCAATAAAAGGGATTTTTGTTGGGGAATATGTCGTGTTCGTCAACACTCTCTAGTCTTATCGGGGTCTAAGAATACGTCATTTGCCTTTAGTTGATGTGTTGCAAAAACATAGCTCTTTTCAATGTCTGGCTAGAGATAAACAACGCCGGGGCAGTACTGGCGACTAAAATTATCTCACTAACAGATATAAAGAAAAAAGCATAAAAATGAACGATGGAATCGCAAAAAAATATTTTTATGGAGGTGAGTAGATATATGACTTTTGAATGAATTGTATGAATGTACTTAGGATGTTAAGGTTCGTCGTAGTGTATTTGAGGCTGACTGACTGACGCTTTTTCGATAAAATCATTTATTAAGGGAACAATGGAACAATGTTTTGAAATGCTTTAAAGGAGTATTGGCTATATGAGTTTTGGAATGTCTTTAATCGAAAATATTGTATGAATGTTTTAAATGATGATACTCCGATACAGCTGCTGCWGAATTCAAATTGGAATGTTTACAGGAGGACTGACTCATGATACGTGTTCGAACCCTCATCGTGCTGGGACAACCAAGTTTTACTAGTATCTTTAGGCTGGCTTTCGACGATATATTAAAAACTCCAAACCGGATCTAATCAAACTGAACCTATAACAATTATACAAATCCGTCAGTTGTTTCGTGCTGGTCTTCGTTTAAGGTCTTTTAACTTGTCTGACTCGCGCCTAGGCAGGATTCAAAGGATTTTGGTAAGAATATTTTTGCGCACGAAATGATCTGCTTTAGCTTGTAAAAACGTATACACCTACTTGCAAGAACGTTGTCATACGATATTAGAACATTAGTAATTTAGTGAGAAAGGAATACACTAAAAGACAAAAGAAAAAGTTCGGCTTCAGTGATCTTCTTTTGTTTTTTAATATAATTCCTATCCCACTAAATCACTAATGTTCTATTTTCGTATGACAACGTTCTTGCAAGTAGGTGTATATCGATTTTGAGTTTTAAAAGGTTTAATTGTCAGTATTTCTAGTTTTGGTTYAAAGTTCTTATTTTCTTATTCTCTCATGCATATTCTTTTACATAATCTTAGAGTTTCTTTACATTTGACTATTTCTACATATATTATTTATGTTTAAATTTTGTGAACTGCTACTAAGACGACTATTTAATGAATTTACAGCATTTTTACTCCATCCCTTTATAGAGATATTTTATATTACGCTGGAAACGAATCTATCTAATTCTGTATTGAAGATTTTCATATTAAAGAGTTTTGTTGCAACATCCTATAGCTCATATATATATATTTTGTTCTAGTTTGTTATTTGAAAAAGCTCATTTCGTACATTTAGATTATACTACGGAACGTACAAAAACATAAATGATTTTCACAGCCAACATAAAATGAAAAATATCTGATTAAAGTTATTTGTTGTTGTTATTGATCGTCCGTTTTTTATTATGGTATCTTTACTTTTTCCTATGTTTCAACAATGCCGGATTCGTGGGAACGGCCTACGGGCTTTGCTGATGGCTTGCAATTTTGAATATTACTTTATGACATTGTTGTACTATGCCAAGAAATCATAGGATTGMTTTACTATTTCTATAGTTTGCGGCGTTATGCATTTCTAAGATAGTCTGTTCCTTTTTTGCTTTTTGTGATTAATGAAAAATCTTTCTCAAGGTCTTCGTAGTATCCGCCAAGTTAGTACAGTACTATGTTCGTTTGTGTAAATGTAGTGTCTTTGTAAATATCTCTGATCGATTCCTGTTCGAAATTCTAGGTACTTTCCTGCTTGTGAACTGTTTTCTCTTTAATCTTTCTAGCTTGGCAATTATTATTATTATTATTGTTATTATTATTATTATCATTATTATTATATCAAAGAAGACAAGATTGCAACAACGTCTGACTTATGCTCAATTATGTTCCAATCTTGTCTTTTTTCATATGTTATTCTATTCTGTTATTATTATTGTTATTATTATTATTATTATCATTATTAATACTGAAACACACCAAGCTGCTAGCGAATTCATTTTTGAATTTTTATCTTGGTGTTGTTAGAGTATCATCCTATTTACGTTATCATCTCCGGTACTTTTTGAATTATTCAAACTAAAAGAGCACTAGCTAGATAAGGATAAAGTGTTTTAGGCGTGGCTATATGCATATTAATGTAAATATATGCTATGTATGTAAATCAATTTTTACTGAAAAACAAAGGAACAATACTCAAGGGAATGACATGTGCTATAAAAAGGGGGAAATCTACCCTTTAGCTGAAATTTTCTCTAGGGAAAATGGACCGTAGGGGAATGGAACGAGACTAATAATAAAGAGTTTTAGATTTACGTTCACGGCAAACGTGAAACGTCAGTTGACCATTTGAAAATTATCTTAAATAGCTGAAAAAGAATCGCAAAAGTCCAAGTAGTAGAAAAAACAAAAGAATATTTGTCTTTGGTGAGGTTCGTAAAAGGTAAAGTTAAGTACAGGAAAACGATGAAAACGTGGTCACGTTTGCCATTTGGGGGAGAAAAAAAAGTCAATCTAAAACTCTCTAATGCTGGGCTGTACCGCGAAAAATATCCAAGCTAGGTATTCGATTAGCAAAAAAAAGTCTGTGAATATAAACAATGGAAAGCCAAGAGCTTATTATATATTTTTTGAAAACTGTCTTTATTTTAGTCATTTCTTCCGAGCACTGCTCTGCTGCAGTGATTTTTTACACATGAAATTGACATATCAAAGAGATGAATTATTTTTTAATTAGATTGAAAACAAATACGAAACGAAAAATGATCAAATTATTAACAGCAAATAGAAAATCTTTGAAAACTGATAAATCCAATTTCTCAAGGTATGTGTTTTGTCTGCCGAATTAATTTGGTTCTATAGATTTGATTATAAACCAATTACGACAATGAATCTTTATCCCACACCATAGAAAATAGAAATTCAAAGATTCAATGCGATCAGCAGCGCATGATGAGTGGCAAGAGTGAAATACCGCGAGAAGACTGGTGATATACAACGGCTWTCCTGCATTCTAATTGGTTGTAATTTCTATTGGGTGTAAAAAAAAGGTCAACATTCACATATTCATTCTTGTTATTTTGAAGTGAAGAGTGCCAACGACGAAACGTCTTCTTGCTTTCGTACATATTCCTAATTTTTATTACGTAAAAATCCACTAAATCCACTTGGGCGTAATGCTTTCCCATTTCATATCACGTATATTCTCTTGAGAATGAGATTCTTTGTTTGAGTTGTATCGGAATTATGTGTCTTCTCATGCACAACTGTAAAACAAAGAAACGATACTCTAGGGAATGATACGTGCTCTGAAATGGGAAAACAGTGGACTACTAGGTCTATGGTAAGAATTCATTGTCGCATTCAATCAGTTTTATAACTATATTAATATCTTTTAAAGAATCTTATTTTTATTTATTTTATTTTTTAATCTTACTTCTTTTTCGTTCCCAACAGGTTACTGAACACCGCTAACAATTTCCATGAACATAACAACTAACGTCACTCGAGGATTTGGTCGCTTAGCAACCCCGATGGCGTGGGTCTTTGCATTCGGCGCTGAAGCGCTTACCATAATAACACTGAACGCATTGACACTAACTGTTTTAACCAGGACGTACGGATTGAGGAAAAAAACTACGTACTTCCTAATAAATCTTACAATCACGGATCTTCTAGTGGGCCTTCTGCCGGTACCTATGTATATGATTTACATCGCGGACGAGCCATTGTTTTACAGGACTAAAAATCTTCTTAAGGCATTCCAGGCTTTGGATATGATCTTCGGCGCATGTTCAATATGGACATTGGCGTTGATTTCTATGGAGCGTTTGTGTATAGTATTGATACCTTATTATCATCGCTCGGCCAAAGGAAAGAATTACTATTACGCCATGGCATTTTGTTGGCTTCTTCCTATTCTTATCTCAGGTCTGGGATTCTTAGCGTCACATGGTGTGATCACGAGAAAGGTTTATCTAAACTTGACGTTTATCTTTCTTTTGTTCATTCCCACGGCTACTCTTGTTATCTCTCACGTTGTTCTAGGGATCAAGTTTAATCACCGTAATCTAAAGAGCCGACGAGCGAGACAAGAGAATGCCCTCAGTAAAACTCTCTTTATAGTGACTGCAACTTTTCTCGCTAGCTTTCTTCCATTCCAATCTTTAGTATTCTACATGGCTTTAAGACCTACGAGTATTCCACCGTTAACCGTCGTTGTAGCGTTGAAACTGCTTCAATATGGAAATTCTTTCATGAATCCAATCATTTACTGGCCGAGGCTACCGGGATTCAAGGCCGCTGCGAAAAAACTTGTTTCCAAGTCAAGACGATACTCTAACACAGAAGTATAGCAAGAGGCGAAATATGCCGTCGACGTTCATGATGGCGTCACAATTCTTATAGTTTGTAAACTCATTAGACAACTATGTCAGAAGTACCTAACAGTTTGAAAAGATGACGTTATGAGGATGATATTAATGACGAAATGATGACATCACAATGCCTATAGTTCGTAACCTCTTTAGTAGTGAAATTATGGCAGCCGGCAGAACGTACAAAAGATGACGTCATGATAACGTATACAATGACGTAGCTATTAGTGATGACAGTTACGGTTTTAGGATGTTCATATACTACAGTAGTATAGGAGGTTGAATACCATTATAATTAGAATTTTCTTGCATTTTGGCGTAAACGGCTCTTAATGCAAAAACCTTTTTTAACAGAATCTCAGAAGCTTTATTTTACGTTCTAAGATAACTTCGAATTATAAGTATTTAGGAAAAAAAGTAACTTTAAAGTTTAGTTTTCGAAGATACTTCGAAAGCGTCGTTCAACCGATAGTTAACAATCTCAAATAAAATGAAAACAAACTCAAAGTATGGTGTATTTGCGTTGCGTGAGCTGCGAGAACACGCGTGACCTGCACTAGGGAGTCACGCAATACGCTACTTGCCAGTTTACTCAGAAGAAAAAATGTYAAGAACTTGTTGAATAGACCCCCTTCAAAGCAGCTCAATTTTGAGGACAAAACAAGAGAAATTAAATTTCATAAATATTGGAAAACTATTGTTATGTCCTAAAGGGGTCTATTAATGGGACAAAATGTGGTTGTGCCACGTGCACATTAATTCATTGCTCCCTGAGTAAACTGGTAAATAGTAAAAAAAAGATGAAATATAACATTAACAAAGTAGCATATTTATAACCAACTTATGTTTGCGATGTACTTACCTGATGCAATAGCTGGAATCGTTAACGTTTTTATTGTATTCGTGGGAGGGGGGGGGGGGGGGTGAGTTAGAGATTATTTATCATTCTTTAGAAAGCATTGCACCTATCCCTCCCTATTTTTCAGTGGATAATCTCGTGAGCTCTAAAATCTATGGCTGATCTTTCAAACGACTCTCTATAGAGTCTAAAGTCTTATTAACGGCCCTCTCCTCTAAAGACTTCCTTCTCTCCCTCCCCTCCCCCCAAAAATAAAAACGGATACCTTCCAGTTTGATGTTGCGCAGGTCTGAGCAGCAATGGCGCGCCTTTTGCGATCAACAGTTTTTTTACCATTTGGCCGTGGAATGTCTCCGCTTTCAGTGGTAAAAAAATAACATGAAAAATTTAGTAATTAATAAATATGTTACAAAATAAATCAATCACTTATGACTGTTGGTTCTTCCACGGAGTTCCCTTGGGCCAGCTCTTCGCATGACATAAGCGCACTGAAAATGAACAATATATATAAATCAAGTTTGTAAGAATGTTTATATCATTTGATAAGCCATACTCTAATGGGTGAGGGATCTCGCACACCAGTTGTATTTGTCAACTTTCACGAGGTTTCGTTACACGTTTTTTTCTCTTAGAGTGAAGGCATTTAACTCGTGAAATAAAAAAATACTAGTCAACGTGTAATAGTCAAATAGACACAAAAAATGCATAAGCACAAGCATAAGCATAAGAGTGTACGTCCTCCTGACTAGGAAATTCAGTGACTGCATAATCATATAAACTTACACGAGGTATTTGTAGTGGTAGGGTACAGGACTACGACACAAATGRGTTAATGAAGAAGTATCCTGTACCCTAGCAGTACTCAGATAAAATATAGCTCAAATATAGCCATGTCAAATGGCAAGAACATTACAATCGCTTTATATGAGAAAAAATTCAATTTCTAAGAGCAAAGGGATTTTATTGTTCTGCCATCTAACCACAGGTAGCCCAGGCTGCATTATAAGCTTGGGCACGTGATGGTGCCATCTATCCACAGGTAGCCCAAGCTGCAATATATGCTTGGGCACATGATGGTGCAAAACATCTCGGTATTAAGTTTATTTTTTTACTCCTTAAGGATAATGATTTTTTGTTTGATTGAAAAAAATAACCGGAGACCATACTCCCAGACCCGAATGCTGAAGCGTTGTATGGTAGCGCGAAGCATTTACGGCTATACCAGAGATTTCGACCCCAACACCGCTATCCCGGGAGGAATTACAGACTGATCAGGAAGCTCGGCCGAAGCCTAAGGGAGAGGTTAGTCGGCCCCTAGTCCATAGATGATGAACCCCTTGCTACGACCAGCATACCCAATTTATCGATTCTATCACTGATGAACTTAAGATCCGTAGTCACTCCTTTCCATGTGGGATGCGTTTTGAATATTTTACTTGCCTTGACGCACACTTTGGAAAAATAATCAAATTTGAGGTTTTGTTTCGTATTCTTAAAATAACGTTTTAACAACCAGCGAAACAAAAAAAAAAAAAAACATAAGAAATTAGAAAGAAAAAAACTTGGAATAATCAAGTGAACTGAGAAATACAAAAAGAAGAAGAAAAATACAACCTCAAAAACCCTACTAGGATAATAATAATAGTTGTTTGTTTTACGCAAATTCAACTTAGCGTTTTCAAATGCGCCAATAAAAGAGAGGGGTAAAGCCTCGCTCTGTCTATTATCGCGAATGCGCAAATTACGTCATAACGTTTACGGTTTACGGAGTATACCTAAACAGTGTCTTTTTCTTCTTCACTGCTCGGATCAGCCTGGAAAATTCTTTGTCCCAAAGGTCGTTGGTGCCAAGACGAGCACAGAGTTTCTAAATATAGATTTTTAGAATAAAACAAAACAAAACAAAACAAAACACAACAAAAAAACTATGACCTTCTATTGCCGAGTTTCATGCATATCGAGGGAGTACTGGGTCGAAACAGGACACAGTCGCGTACACGATGTATGAATATCTGATTATTTCTCACTGATTTCTGCTCATTGACTCAAGTCAAATCAAAATTGAACTTTGTCGAGCCAATGGCCGTATTTTGTGCAATAATAGAGCATATTCTTGAAATCTGATTGGCTGACAGATACGATCAATAAGGCCTAGGGCAAACGTCGAACTTTCCATGCACCGAACTTAACTACATCAAAGAATGCCGCCTCATTATCACCTGATATCCATTGCTTTTAATGAGTTCGGTGCATGGAAAGTTCGACGTTTGCCCTAGGCCTAAGACTCGCTGCTCCCATCTATGATCAATAAGAGGACAGTCAATGGAATTCTATGAGAGATCTGTTAAATACAACTTGGTCAAGAGTTGTCCGGTCTCCCCAGTCCCCCTACTTATTAATATGAAACTCGGCAATTGTTTACAAAGGATTCAACCAATCACAATCAATTAATACAAATGGTCTAATGGAAAATTTCGTACGGTTCTTCTAAACAGGACTAAATTTGTTCCAGAGAAACGAAATCTGCTGTCCTAAGCATACATAACTGAATTTCTTTACCTTAACATCAACCATCCAAAGTATAATTTGTAATCTTCTCTCTTTACTGATTCTACAGTTTATCATGGCCTGTAAATTCAAACCACAAAAAAGCTCAAATGTCCCTAATGAAGTCATGTTTGACTTCAAACAAAAAATAAATGACGTCATATCAATTTTAAGAGCAAAAACTTGCTATTGACGTCATACTCAACTTCAAGGAATAATCTACACTCAAAATTGCTACTCAGTGAATAGTAATATATTCACATGCTAACAATACACGCAAGTATACATATTTAGATATGGAAATGCATGAAAATGGTCCACATATCCCAGGGTGGAGGMGCTTACACCTCCAGAAACGCCATGAATATTCATCCACCCTGATGACGTCATCAGCATTATATAAGAGACATTAATTATTCATCGGTATCACTTTGTGAGAACTAGCTGCAGAGGACAGCACCCAACCCGCCCGCCCCTTCCTTTCTCAGCTTCTTCCTGTTTGCTCATATGCATAACTCTTGCGGGTTTGGTCGGCAGGGGTGATTTTCCCATATCTTAGTTAATGCTGATTAGTAAGCAGGATGGTTTATGTACTATTCTAAGTGCTAAGAATAATAGCGAGTATTTACATAATATCCCATCATGCATTGCTATACATATATATGTATATATATATATATATATATAAGCGTGAACACTTCCTTTTGTGCTACTCTCATCTACGACGCCGAAAAACTGGTTCTGACCTCCCCACCCCCCCTCCCACCCTACATGACGCGTTGTAAAACGTTTCCCCACACTCGCGAATATATTACAATTTGGAGGACAAAACCAATCTCAATAGAATTGGATTATGTCCTCCAAATTGAAYTGCACTCCGTCGGACGACAAGGGGTCTATTTATGTGTCAAAGCCGCTACTGGCGTCATAGTAGTGAACTATTTTTTGAATGATGACGTTATATTGATTCTATGCCCTCGGATTTCGTCCCAGATCAAGTCTGTCCGTACCTCCTCAGCTTTATTCATTGTCTTGAAGAGCACCAGGCGAAAAATTGCAGGATGAGACTGGTTTATTGTACTCAGACACGCGAGTAAAGCATCTGAAAACTAAAAACGAAATAAGCTTTAGAATTTTTTGAAAAATAAAACATTCACTTCTTATCCGCCCCTCCCCTCAGGGGGCCTATTTCTAAAGTATACGCAAGGAATTATATCTCTCTCTAATCAAAGCTATTGTAAGGAAACAAACAACCAACCAAACAGGCAACAAACCGACTAACCAACCGACCGACCGGCCAACCGACCGACCAACGAAACAAACAAAACAAACCTTTTTATAGCACCACTGCTCGAACACATGCTTGTACATGATTTTGACTAGCCAGTCCGAACAAGACCTTACGAACGCTTTCTGCATGTGCATTTCTAAACCTGGTAATATTGAAGTAATCTGACACAAAGAAAAGAACAATTTACGAATCATTAGTTTAGTTTATATTCCAGTATGTAAAATATCCATAGTATTCAAGGGCGGATCTAGGGGAGGGGTGCAGGGGAAACGCACCCCCCTACTGGGGGTGCACCCCCTCCCTAAACCAAAATCCTGGACGGCGTAACTCTCCTCCCCCTCCCCCCCCCCTGCATCCGTCCCTGGTATTGCGAGTCCATAAGCCTCTTCTGAGCTCGACAAAAAAGGTTAATTCTGGTCGAGTTTCGGCTCTAACAACACCATATAAGGCATGACGAACAAAAGATGTTAATACCGACCAAAATCTACCATTTTCTGTYTGCGGTTGCACAAATTATAGCGACGTTCTTTGCTGAGTATAATTATTTCCGAGCCAACCAGAATACTGCAGAATATACGACGACTTTCCTGCGTTATGATTGGCTGTATTTTTAATGATGTGGAATTCGAGGTAATCTACTCGTTCCACAAAGGGATCGGAGTTAAGAAACTTCAAAGGGTAATCAACCTCCTTATCTTGGGCTCAACATTTTCCCATTTTTGACTACGTGTCATTTATTATTAATCTCTTAAGTATAAGCTGTTTTGTTTGAGTTGTATTTATAGTGGCGACTCCTAAACCTCCAAGTGTATGCGGGTTTACCCTCGATTTAAGGAGTTGTTTTTTTTTTTTTTCTGCTGTTGGTTACCATCCTCAGAAGTGAGGGTAAGCCCGCATGCACTGGAGTTTTAAGTGTCGTCAATTCATGTGTCTTCGTATGGCAGCCATTAAACAAAGAAATGATATTCAAAGAAATGGCACGTCGTCGATCTGAAATGGGAAAACCATTTTTCCCAAGGAAAGAGGTCTAATACATTAGATGATCAAAGGGGATAGAAGATATCTGAACTACCAAAAAAACGAACGCACTACAATCAATGTACTCTTGTTATTAACACAAGCATGCGTAGCCCACCTCAATTGAGAGCAAATAAATGGAGTTAAGTATTAAAGTGGCTTAAAACCCAGAAACAGAAATCAACATTAAGCTTCCCTTATTTAGATCAATTCTATTCGGAAATTGCCTCCGGGAGACCATCGAAGTAATGCACTTAGTAAGGGTTCGTGCGTACTCAATAATGGTGCTGRTTTTAATGGCCAACAGGATAATTATAATAATAACAATAATAATAAGTGTAAAKGTTTTGAACCCAGGTGTTGAAGTTTGTTTTGAAATGTGATCGTCCGGGTGAGTGTAGTCTTGAGAAAGACGATTGTTGGTGGTGACTGACGTTTCGACAACCTGAGCGGAAGTCATCTTCAGAGTCCAGTGAGAAAACGAGAGAATAACAATAATAATAATAACAATAATAGTAATAATAATAATAAAATAATAGAATAATATTAATAATAATGATAATAATAATAGTAATAGTAATAACAATAATAATAATGACAATAATAACTGCCAAGTAAGAAAGATTTAGAGAAGACAGCCAACAAGCAGGAAAAGTAGCCAGAACTTGACGATGACAATGATGAAGAAAAACTGGGTCGAGTTGACGTTGCAGTGCATTTTGGGGCTGTTTTAGGAGAAGAAGAAATAGACGCCATCTTGGAAATATCTCCCTAAAAAAGCCCCACAACGCACTGCAGCGTCAACTCGACCCAGGWTTTTCCTCATCCTCGTAATAGCTAAGATCTTGCCATCAGTTTTTTATCTGTAGTATTTTGCTATTATTTGTGTACCTTGAATAGAAATTCTTCTTGACGCTTGTTGCGTGATAATGAAGAATTCAGAACCTTTTCTAGTTCGGCAAATTCTCCTTTCTGAATTAACGTTGAAAATACATCGTCATCCTCTTCAATACTGATGGAAGGAAAAAAGACACAACATAATGTTAAACACATAACTTTTCAAGAGTTTTCTAATAAACTATGGGTGCGTTTATTGTAGAAAAGTAACTAAAGCATGCCGCGGTTCTTCAAAGACCTTGTTCAGAAAATTATCATTAATTTCGTTAAGACTATACAGCTAAACCATTTCCTTTTTTTTTTTTTTTTTTTGAAAGTTTCAGTCAGTATAAGTGTGTTCCAGGCGGCGTTATTTATCTGGGTTTTGTGACCAGCAGGCTTGAGTAGGTTTTGTATTACGTGACACCGTCACGACATCTGAACCATCAAATCACCAAGATTTCTGGTCATGCATCTAATGAAAATGATAGTTGATGGCATCCTCGCGGTCACTGTCACGGTCACTGTCACGGTCACGGCAGCGCACCAGACGCCAGCGAATAGACTTTGTATTACTGTGAAACGTTATGACACATGTTTCCGTCACGACATCTGAACGATCAAATCACCAAGATTACTAGTCATGCATATAATGAAAATGATAGTTGATGGCATCCACACGGACACGCTCACGGTCACGGCACGGCACGGCACGGCAGCGCACCAGACGCCAGCGAATAGACTTTGTATTACTGTGAAACGTTATGACACATGTTTCCGTCACGACATCTGAACCAGCGAATCACCAAGATAAACAAATTGACATTACCTTTTCATTTCCTCGTCAATTTCAATGTGGGGGTCAATGTCTCTTTTTTCAGGACTTTGTTTGTTTCCATCCTTGCTATATTCTTGAATTTCCGCTTCGCTTTTCTCTCTATTCTCATTCTTGTGACTATCGATATTTCCCCTTTTTACTTTTCCATTCCCCATATTTTGGGTCTCACTTTCAATTTCGATTCTACTTGCACTGTCATCATTCCTGAGGTTTTCTGTGCCACCTTCACAACGCTTTCCTTCCCTTTCTACTTGGCATTCTTTTCCAATGCCTGCTTCCAAATCATTCATTCTAACATCATCAATGACGTCAGAGGTGAATTCTTTACTTTCTTTCATGACCCTGTTGACGTCATCATCCAATAAAGTCCAAGTCCACTCCATCAAGTCATCCTCGTCGCCTTTGGTATCACGTGATTTAGACCCAGTCTTCTGGGTTTTGGTTTCTGGTTCCGCTTCCTTGCTGCTTACGGAAGCATTTTGATAGAAACGCTGAATCTTTTGCGACAGTACTTGTGCTACAAGAGGGTCTTTTATCAAAGGAATGAACTGCAAGGAATTTAGAAATACTCATTAGATTAATAATTTTATAATAACTAATGAACAATAAAGGAAAATAAAGGTGAAAAGCATGAGGGAAGAAAACAAGCGAGTAAACGAGGAAGATATATAGGAAATTGAAATAGAATTAAAAATATGAATGACTGGATGGATGGATAATGGATGGATGGATGGATAAATAAATGACTGGATAATGGATGGATGGATGGACGGATGGATGGGTGGATGGATGGATGAATGGATGAATAGATTAATGGATGAATAGATTGAAGGGTTGATGAATTGATGGATGGACGAGTGGATGGATAATGGATGGATGGACGGACGGATGGATTAGGTGTATGGATGAATGGATGAATAGATTGAAGGGTTGATGAATTGATGGATGGACGAGTGGATGGATAATGGATGGATTGATAGACGGATGGATTGGGTGAATGGATGAATGGATGAATGGATGAATGGATTGAAGGGTTGATGAATTGATGGATGGATGAGTGGATGGATGAGTGGATGGATGAGTGGATGGATGAGTGGATTGATATATATTTAGGTCGGATGGAGGATGGATGGATGAATGAATGGATGGGTGAATGGATGGACGGATGGGATAAAAAGAAACAAGAAAGCACCGATTACCTTGATGATTAGAGTTTCCAGTGCACCGACAGCTCCATGTGTAACTTCAACACGATCTAAGAATAGGCTAACCAATGAAATTGGAAACTCCTGACCTGAAAATAAACGAAAGAAGAGAGGGGGGCTCATTTAGAAGGCACGTTGAAATCATATATGTGGGTCAAAACGCCACATAAAATCAATTTTCCTCCGAGYATAGCCTTCCATTTAAGCGCTTCGGATAAGGGGTGGGTGGGTGGGTTAGGGTTTAGAACAGCGATTTTCTCATGGGAATAACATGGCAGTTGTGAGATCGATGTCCATGGTGAATGCAATCCGTATCATAATGGAGTAATGGAAGCGCTTCATACGAACATCCGAATAAATACTATACACAGCCTATGCAGTAAATAAATTCATTCGTTTTGTCACATTTTCAGTTCCGTCGTTAATAGTTCTTATTGTCGGCAAACCTTTTTGAAAATTAATTTACATAAAACCAAATGGGCTCTCGTTTAATTAGGATTTGATGTCAGCCTTACCGGCCTCTTTTGAAGATTTTTCATTGATTAACATTTGTAGAAGATTAACGGCTTTAAGAGCTGAAGCAGTGCTGGGCTGAATATTCTTGAACCAGCTGAAAAAGAGAAAGGAAAATGCTAAGTGAAAAAGAAATTTCTGACACCATTTTTTTCTAGACAGACAGACAAACAAACAGAGAGAAAGACAGAGAGATTTTATTTGTTAGAGACTGTACATCGAGTGGGAGTGTGGGGGGAAGGGGTGGTGGGAGGAGCGGAGGGGAGGGGTAGTGGGGAGGGGGTAATAAAAGCAGGGGCACTAGTGGTAGAGCAGGAACAAGTTTAAAGGTAGTAATAGGGGAGGAAAAATTGCAACAAAAAATTTTTATTTATAGGAGATAAAAGCCACAGGTATACCAAAGCACATGATAGATTAGAATGCCTTTCCTTACCTCTCAAAGAACGTCTTGGGAATACAGTTACTACCACCTGGTAAAGCAGCTCCTTTTGTCATAAACATTTCTATTGGATAATCCCAGCCCGTGACGTCTGACAGTTTTGGTGATTTGAAGACACTTTCACAGGCCCACAAAACGCACTACGTGGAGCAAAGAAGAATATGTTTATCAGTTGAAATTTGTACCGTTTGGTCACGTGATACTTTCGATAGATATAGTCATCATATCATCATCATCATCAACTTTATGCATCATCATCATCATCATATAGTCATCATCATCTTCATTATCAACATCCTCAACTTTACGCATACTCATCATAATCATTATATAGTAATAATCATCTTCATTATCAACATTCTCATCATCAACTTTACGCATCATCATCATAATCATCATATAGTCATCCTCATCTTCATTATTAACATCCTCATCATATCCTCATCATCAACTTTACGCATCATCATAATCATCATATAGTCATCATCATCTTCATTATTAACATCCTCATCATATCCTCATCATCAACTTTACGCATCGTCATCATCATAATCATCATATAGTCATCCTCATCTTCATTATTAACATCCTCATCATATCCTCATCATCAACTTTACGCATCATCATCATCATCATATAGTCGTCATCATCTTCATTATTAACATCCTCATCATATCCTCGTCATCAACTTTACGCATTATCGTCATCATAATCATCATCATAATCATCATATCATCTTTGGTAAGCAAGGGTAGTGTGCGCTGCTAATGCCCCTGTGATGTAGTCAATGATTTAATTCATGGACTTGTCATTATTTCCTTTTTCCTAAGGTTTTTCTCCGGGTCCCACAGTTTTTCTCCCTCCGCAAAAATCAACKTTAATTTTTCAATTTCATTTTCATGGAATAATGGCTCGAAGAGTCGTTCGTCTGTTCTATGATACCTCACAATTTGTGGATGAAAACCGCACGCGCGCATTTTCCATGAAGTAATCTTTATTTACAATATGCAAAGAATTAAACAAGACTAAATTTTCATTGTACACTGGCCATAATTTTGTTTATATCAATACACTGTATTTCTGGAAAATTGTTTCCTTACAAAAATCTTTACAGACATCATGCTGAAATATTGGTAATTTCCTTGAAAAACTAGTCAACAACACACAATTTCTGTTAATATTTTTAGAATATCTTTTGACAAAATTTTACTGTACAAGAATTGTCGTAAGGTTATATATCAGTAATTTTTWTGTTATTCTGCAGATTATTATTAAAAACCTCGAAAAAACACGATTGAATCAAGATAAAAAGTATTGATAAAAGCATTTTATGTTGACGACTTGAATGCACTTCGTGACCCAACTCCAGAATCCACGCGATTGTCTGCAAAGATATTATCCTCAGTCACTTTAGGAAAGGAATTGTGCTGGCATACAGACATGGAATCAACGCTGATTGAAGCGAGATTTTCCATTGCCATAAACTCCTGAACAGCCAAAGCCTCGAAGGAGTTTTTTGGTTCTTTTAAGCCAATGAGCACTTCGATATTCACGTGATCTTTGGGCCATTCTGTGTGAAGTCGGTGTAAGCTAGGCGTAGAGTGTTCAGGGACATGACTTAACTCTTCGTCAACATTCATGTCTTCAGAGGACTTTCTTGAATGGTTTTTTAAGTTAATGAATTCACCATGCGCTGGCTCGTTGTTGAAGTCGTGATCGGTATTGGCCTTATCATCAGATGGCTTGGACATGCCAAGATTCAAGGTTCGCACAATCAAAGCGTAGATATCAGGGATCGTTCCACCAGGGACCCCTTCTTCACTCTTTTCATTATCATTTTCATTATCGATCTTATTTTCTGATGCGTTGCGAGAATAGTCTGTGTTGATAGAAGAAGGTGCGGAAATGTCGTTCGCTTTTGGAATTGAGAGTTTACTTGCTGAGATGAAAGGACTGATGTTACTGGAAGACGAGTTCTATAAATATATGGAAAGATATTATCATTATTTGATCATTACAGTATATATCTATGCAGTATATATCTATAATTTCTGATAGGTTGGTGGCGCGTGAGTTATGAGAGMTCACAAAACGTGTGCGCACTTTTATTTTCTCATTCGTGTCAAAAATACGCTGCACGACATGCCTCTCCTAACACTTTTTTGCACACAGCACGCGCGCGCTTTGTCTATTTCTTCGGTATTATATTCTTACTATTCAGATAAAAAAAATCTACTTACTAAGAATGACGGTTCGTCTTCGTGAATTTCCATGCTGTCTTGAACTTTATTTCGATTGCTACTGCATACACCATAGTGCCTCTCATCCGTGTTGTGCTTCTCTATCATACGAGGTACATCAATTGACCCTGATAAAGATCTCTCGTGGCCAGTATTATATTCATTACTTCTTTGATCTACAAAACTAGTATCACTAATCAAATGATCAGATAAAATAGGGCGGGACTCTTCTTGGACTCCCATAGTATTTTCACGTGTCATTGCTGGTGTATCAAAATGCCAGGGATACTGCGCGCCGTTAGCTTGAAACGCCCTAGTGGAATTTCTGATAGATGATGGTGTGTGAAAGATGCCTTGATCCGAGGAGCTTGATTCTCTTAGTCCAGAACTACTCGCCTCGCCTTGGACTACGTGTGAAGAGGTCTCTTCTCCAGTCTTGTTTTTCTTGTTACTAGTGTTAAACCATGAAAACCACCTCCTTATCCCTGTAGCTCTGGATCCTGCTCTTCCATCATCAATTCCATTTACCTCATCCGATCTGCCAGGTYGTAATAAATGCTGATTGGTTGCGCGGTGAGAGTCTTGTGATTCGTTGGCCTGACGTCGATGATATGATRTTGTATTGCTATTAGTACTTCTGGTTGTATCCATGGTGGCATGGTCGTCTTCAGTTTCCATGGGAACACTTCTGGATGGATTGCTCATGATCCCTGAAGATGCAATGTAGAAAAAAACCATTGTTATATTTATTGGTTATTTTCCTCGCCCGCAATCTTCTTCAGTGCTGAAGTTCTTAGAACGTTATTTTTCAACYTTCTAGGCGACGTCGCATGTGCAAGAAAAAAAATGCACTTGCACCGGGTACTAGAGAAAAACGTTTGCGCATGCGTACCTTTAAGCRCGTTTTCTAAGAATTTAGAAGTGTAAATGAAAAAATAAATGTTCGTTTACTCCGAGACCAAGATACTGTATTAATAAAGACAATATTAAAGAATTAGCCTTAAGTTTCAAGCACTGACATTGAAAGTTAAATTCACATATTTTTACTAATTTGCATACGGACTAAGTGCATGCGCAGACGTTTTTCACTCGTGTCGTTGCGCTGTTGATACAACAAAGACTGCCGTTCTTCACACGTCGATTGTGTATGATCCCTTGATGTTCTTCACTCGTGTCCTTGCGCTGTTGATACGACAGAGACTACCGATCCTCACAAGTCGATTGATTAGGACATAAAAATCTACGCATACAATTTTTTCCCCGGAATGTCTGAATTTTTAGTTGCAAAATCGAAACATACTTTAAAAAAAATGTAGCATTTTGTTTTTGCGAGAGAAAATTATTTTTATTTTTCATGATTGTTAATACATGTTTGTATTTTACCTTCTTCCTCGTTTTCATCGACAACAGCGTCAAAGACGCAATAAAACATTGGCCGCAGCTGTGTAATYTGTATCAAGAGCTAGCTTACTAGACTGGCCATATTATGAAGGCAAGGCTGTAGTTACATGCTGTAGCTAATCTGAAAACGAAATGTCAAAACACTTTAAAGCGCAAACATAGGCGCGTCAAAACTCTTATCATTGTGAATAGATTCGGTGTTGAAATAGAAGAATGCTTTTACTTACCAAGTCAAACTGACAAATAATACCAAGAATGAAATACGTTGCCCAATTTAATGTAATGATGTAGACGAGAGACCAATCTTGACGGTAACTTGTGAGTTTATCAGCTAATTTATCGTTACTATCATTGAGTATGACGTCATAATGATACTAATTTGTACGAAGTCGCGCGCGCTACTCTTGCTCTTTGAAATTGTCCCGTTTATGCCATAAGAATGTTTCGCTTGCGCACAAATTATAGAGAGAAGGGGAATATCAAAGATGCAACGCGTAACAGTTTCAGTATTATATCTGGTTCACTGCTGCTGAGAAAGGTTCACACGCTCAATATCCCAAAAAATGAAACAAAATGGTTCTAATTTTCCATCCATCCATCCATCCATCCATCCATCCATCCACCCATCCATCCATCCATCCATTTCATGTTTAGCCCTTACCTTTTGCTCCAGAATCCTTATCAGTTTGTTGAGTACATCGAAGTTGGTTTTGAAGTAAGTGCAAGTAAATGCTATCATAACTTCTAGGACAAACCTCTGCACAAATGATAACAAAACATGTTATTGAACTACCAAATGCCTTCCATAACATCACAAAATAGCCTGCGTAGCGTCGCTTTGAAGAGGGGACAGGAGAGGGGGGGGGGGGGGGGCCGATACACAGGCTAAACTGTTAACGACATACAAATAACATTTTATGTCAACCACTTCAGACTCTGGAACGATACACAAATGATAAAACTCAAAGATCAGAATAACATGTTTTACTAGAACCCTTCATAATCTTGTAAAGTTAGCCTACTCAAGTAGAGGGGCCCCTAGATGATATTCCAAGAATAGCGAATAAATCAGATTGATTGATTTTACGTACCTTCACACATATTGGTTCCAGATATTTCTTAGCCTCTTTGCCGAGGTAATCTCGGTAAACAACTTTTTCAGGATTTTTTAGATCCTCYAGTGTTTTGTAGGCACACTTCCTCATACAGATTGCATTCGATTCCTGTTGAACATGAAGAGAATTCATCATATACTCAAGATCATTCTTATTGAAGTTACCAAATAATCAGGGGCGTAGGGAGGTCTTGATTATGGGAGGAGGGGGGGTAAATGAAGATTTTCCTGCCAAATCCACAGGAATCCCGCGTGAAGTAATTAAATTTTGGTGCCGAAAGTAAGCTTCCCCTTCCCCGTTTCCCCTCCCTATGCTAGTGGAACCCTCCCTATGCTAGTGGAAGTAACTATATGTCTCACTTCGATGCAAAGGCACGGCTACCTTTCAAGATGGCGCTGGGAACTGTGAAGGAGACTTTGAAGGGGACTTGGATTCCAATAAAAATCTCAGGCATGACACAGTCACGCTCACGGTACAGCATGTCTAACCGAGAGGTTTTCACAGCTGAACAAAAGGATCAGGATCCAGTTTCCTTCATTAAAATTTAATATTGTTAATGCTAATGCGATATAATCTTAGGCATACTTACATTCAGGTCCATGGTCTTGATGCTCTCCGGGCAAAACGTCTGCAAAATTCTTTCCATGTTATCCTTAAAACAGAAATGTAATAATGTAATAATGTCCTGTTTTCTAAGTATGGTTGGAATGAGCTTCCTTGATTTTCTCTTCTTCCTTCCTTCATCCCTTTCTTTCTTCTTCCCCTTCCCTCTTCTCCCCTCCTCCTCTGACAATATGGACCAACACACCAAGTGAAGTTAGTGCTCCGGCATCCTTGCAGACGTTTCTCATTCGTTTCCCGCGTTGGGCATCCGAGTCAACATTGCGGCTTTCAGGTGCTATCATATTCTCTCCAGCTCTTGAGAACAATATTTTACCCCCGGAAAAGCAGTTTTTCTCGTGAGAATATACATAGCCGCGCGTAAAATTCGCAAGGTAAATATTCTCCATGTTTCCCGTGTCATGAAACGCCACGACTCACGTGACTAAAAATTGAAACTAGAAATGTTGTGTGACCTAATGTTTCTTACCTGACTACAAAGGTTGTGTGACCTAATGTCTCTTACGTGACTGCGAATGTTGTGTGACCTAACGTGTCTAACGTGACTACGAATATTGTGTGACCAAAAGTGTGTTACCTCTGTRCGAAGAGAGTCATTGACTTGCAAGGCATGCATCAGAAAAAGCCACGACTGTGTATTTTTGGATGTGTAGATATAACATCTTATATTGCCGATGTTCTTGTGGACTGGTAAAATCTCTTCAATATCATCTAGAGTGAAATCCTTGACTGGACATGATGCTGTGCTAGTGGTTGTTCCTACCAATCCAGAAACCAAACAAGGCATTAGCTGATAATAATSCAAATCAATATCCAGGTAATGGACAGCCTTTTCCAGGAAATTGAAAGTTAACTTCCACACTAGTGGTTGCTACCAATCCAGAAACCAAACAAGACATTAAATGATAATAATCCAAGTCAATATCCAGGTAATGCACAACCTCTTCCTGGAAATTCAAAGTTAACTTCCACACGAATTGGACGTGTTTGTCCAACGAACATACCAACTATCTATCTAGGTTAACGTTATTATCTATTATAGAGAGCTTATTGATACACAACATTGTTAAGTTTTTATATATRAGTATGATACCAAATAAATATGTTGTCCTTTTATTCTGGCTGCGTATGCTGGACGAAATGCCATATCAGTACAACACAGTAAAACACTAAGTATGTGCTGGATAGAAGATTTTACGCGCTAATTAATGAAAACATTCTATAAGCGCGCGCTCTATTACAAAACGAATTTGAGCATGCGCATAACATACCATGTAGCCAGATGTTTACCATGCGCCAAATTTCCTCGAGTTTAATTATGCCAATTCGTTGAACATACGCTGTAAGATTGACAAGACTCTGTGGTTTTGTACACTATGCGTAATAAAACATCTAAGGTACATAAAGTACCTGTGTTCTTAATCTCACCTGAGGGGTAGTTATTCAGTGATTTGCAATAAGGAATAACCGAAACACGAATCGCACTCTCTAGCGAGTTATTAGTCGCGTTCAGTTTGATCCACTTTCGTCTAAAGATCGGGATATCAACCATTCGCTGATCAATCTTCTGCACGTTGATAACGTTCATCGGAAGACCATAGAGAGGCTCTTTAGGGACTTGCCAGTCTGGAAGCTGTTTTACTTTTGTTCCTTGTAGATAGTTAATGGCATCTTTTTTACTGAAAGAGTTAGTAAGTGTCTCAATATTAATAAACTTCCCATCATGATGGCGAAGTCGTGTAAGATATTTTTGCTTTGGTTTCTGATGGAATATCATTCAACATGGAGCCGGCTATTACAATGATTGCAAACCATTTACGTAATTAGTACTGTCATGTACGGTTTGTCTTATTACTTTCAATTACACCTATTTCAGGAAAGGTATATCTATTCTTTATCTATTTATTGTATAATTTTTTTCATATCTTTTCTAAAAATAGTTGTATATGTAATATATACATTTTTTTTTTCAGATATAGTTTCTTCTATATTTATATAATTATTTTATTGTTGTTGACTTTGGATGCAATTTATATATATTGAAAGAGAGTATTTCAGGAAAGGTTGTCGAAGCCAAAAGACATTAGCGATGTGAGATGGGACATGGGTCGTGATTCCAAGATACACTTGTGTTTCTTATTATTATTCTCAGTTATCATCATCATCATCATCATCATCATTAATA